TGAAGAGGATTGGTAAGTTGATTGGATTGTCGTGATCGGAGCGATTTTGAGGACTTACCATCCTATTGAAAAGGATTGGCAAGTTGATTGGATTATCATGATCAGAGCGACTTTGAGGACTTATCATCCTATTGAAAGGATTAGGAAGTTGATTGGATAGTCACGATTGGAGCGACTTTTAGGATTTACCACCTATTGAATAGGATTGGAAAGTTGATTGGATTGTCGTGATCAGAGCGACTTTGAGGACTTACCATCCTATTGAAGTGGATTGGTAAGTTGATTTGTCAGAAGTGTAGTGTTAACGTGACAGTGGGAGTGGACCCATCGTCCTATTGGAGAGGATCGATAGGGAAAATTTAGAGGAAATCAGTTGCCAGAGGTAACTGTTAACGTGATAACTTTTGTGTGGGCCCGTCGTCCTGTTGAAGAGGATTGACGGGGAAAATTGGAAGGAAATGACTATCAAAGGTGACCGTTAACTTGATAGTTTAGTGGGAGTTTGAAGAAAGACTATGGGTAGTACTTCTTCAAGAATTTGTTGTTAATAGCCATTATGATCTTATCTCTATTCGGTTTGACGAGATGATAGCTCCATTTGAATAGAATGTCTCTATCACAAATGGTCCTTCTCATTTGAGTTGGAATTTTTCTTTCTTCTTGGAGTTGAGTATCATAGATCGTCAAACAGCGAGGACCAACTATCCTTCCTTCAAAGACATGCGCTCGACTTTCTTGTCGAAAGCCTTGGATATTCGAGCTTGATAGAACTCAATGTGTTATTCAGCTTCGAGCTGCTTTTCATCTAACGCCTCCAATTTTGCGAGACATCCCTAATAACTCTGTTTAGTCGTCATACCCTTTATGAGTACGACGCGTAGGGATGGAATCTAAATTTCTAGCAGTAGTATATTTTCACAACCGTATACCAGTGAATAAAGTGTGGCATCGGTCGGTGTGCAAATTGTGGTTCGGTATGCCCATAAGCTTTCACCGAGCTTTTCATTCTAATCGCGCTTTCTGTTGGAGCTTGGTTAAGATCTTGACGATCATCTTATTGAAAGCCTCGGCTAGTCCATTTGCTGATGGATTGTAAGCCGTGGATGCCAGATTTTGTATTCTGAATTTATCACAGAACCGAGTGAATGCATGACTAACAAACTGTGATCCGTTGTCATGAATGATACGTCTTGGAATGCTATATCGGTAGATAATGTGATGTTTGATGAACTTGATCACATCACCGGTCTTAACTTCTCTTAAGGGAACGACTTTGGCCCACTTAGAGAAGTAGTCAGTTATCGCACGGATAAAGCGATGATATTTGGCTGATGGTAGAGATATCGGTTCGATGATATCCATCCCTATGTCTCAAACGGTCATGAAGTCGCTGTCGGGTGCAGGTTTTCGTGTGGTTTGTAAATGTAGTTGGCATGGATTTGACACGCATGGCAACGTTTGGCATAAGCAATAGCATCGTGGGTCATTCTAGACCAATAATAGCCCATTCTTTGTAAGCGATCCTAAAGCTTGGGTCCAGGTTGGTGAGCACCATAGGTACCATCATGGGCTTCCCACAAAACTTCCTGTGCTTTTGTCATTAAGAGACACCGAAGAAACATGCCGTTGTACGACTTACGATACAATGCCTTTGTTATTGAGTTGTAGTAGAATCTCGGAGCGCGTTTGCGAAGAGAATCTCGCTCTTTTACGTCTTCGGGTAGTATGCTGTATAAGATGTAGTCGATGATTGGGGAATGCCAATCTCTCGGCTCGAGTTGACCTGTAGCTTGGTGAGTTGCATTCGCTACCAGAACATACTCCGGTCGGAAGAGTTGTCAGCTTGCGATGGTGATGCGTTGACTTGTTCCCTGCGGTTGAGCTAGATTAGCTGCCAATGACGCCAGGACATTCGCTTGCGTGTTCTTAGAACAAAGTACGTGATCAATGCGGAAGCTTTTAAATGATTCGGCTAGTTTGATAGCCGCTTTATGACATGGGATTAATTCGTCGTTTCTGACTTTGTATTCCCCTATCATCTGCCTGACGATGAGCTGAGAGTCACCGTAAACTTCAAGATGATTCACCCCTAACTCCTTAGTGAAGTTGAGTCCGATGAGCAGCGCATTGTATTCAGTCACATTATTGGTACACGGCTCGGTTAAAGAGAAAGCTCAGGGTAATAACGTGTTTTTGCGGAGAAACCAAGACCACCCCCACTCCTATGACGATAGACCCACTCGTGCTTACGTGCAATGCTCCGTCAAAGAATAGCTGCCAAACGTCTCCCTGCGAGGTCGTGTTGACCTCGTGGGCCTCATCTGACATATCTTTGAACAAGTTAGTCTTTGACTCGAGTGGATGAATGGCCATAAGATCACAGATTGCTTGTCCTTTGATTGACTTCTGCGGTATGAAGTGGATGTCATATTGAGACAACAGGAGTACCCATTTTGCCAGACACCAATTTAAGGACTCAGACTGTGTCATGAAGACTCGGATGGGATTCATCCGGGAGATGACGTGTATTGTTTGACCAATAAGGTAGAATCACATCTTTTTAGTTACAAACACCAAAGCCAAACACTCCTTTTCGACCATACAACATCGTCGTTCGGCTCCCTGCAAGGTTCTACTCGGATAATAGATTCCCTTCTTGTGGCCATCGTTGACAGTTTATGCTAAGAGGGCGCTAACAGAATGCTCCATTACCCGCACATAAATTGGGAAGGGTTTCCCTGAGACCGGAGCCACCAAGACAGGTGGATTAGAGAGATTAGTCTTGATCTCATCAAACGCTTGTTGGCAAGGCTCATCCCATACGAAGAAAACACCTTTTTTCATCAGCTTGGAGATGGGTTGACACTTATCCGAAAGATTTGAGATGAATCTTTGGATGTAAGCCAGACATCCTTATAATCCTCTTAATTCCTTGAGATTCCTAGTTGGTTGAAGCTCTTGAATAGCTTACACCTTATCAGGGTCTATGTGAATTAATCCAAGGAATTTGCCGCTCGACATCCCCAAAAATGACTTCGTGGGTTTCATCTTGAGTTGATAGGATCACATCAGCTCAAACATCATTCTCAGGTCTTGAAGATGATCGTTTTTGCTGCGACTCTTCACAACCAAGCCATCTACGTAGCATTCGACAGTATTTCGTAGATGATCCCAGAAAATTACGCCCATAGTACGTTGATAGGTTGCGCCGACGTTCTTAAGTCCGAAGGACATAACCGTGTAACAATATACCCCCACCGTAGTTCTGAACAAAGTGTGCTTCTCATCTTCAGGGTGCATATTGATTTGATTATACCCTGAAAACCCGTCCATGAAGGACATCCTTTCGAACCCACAAGTATTGTCGATGATGGCATCTGTGATGTGTAAATGGAATTCATCCTTCAGACATGTAGCGTTGAGGTCCTAGAATTCAATGTAGATACGGATCTTTTCATTCTTCTTCAGGACTGGAACAATGTTATCCACCCAATCGAGGTGTTGTTCCTCTCTGATGAAGCCTGACTTGATAAACTTCTTCACTTCGGCTTCAATCGCCTCTATGATTTGTGGACGAAACAGTCTTTGCTGTTGTTTGACAGGTTTAGTGTCCAAGTTGATGTTGAGGCGATACATAGCAATATGGGGATCAAGGCCAAACATGTCCTCGTAATTCTAGGCAAAGACGTTAATATATTCTCGGATAAGGGATATAAGGTCTTCTTTCTCCTGGGGAGGTAAACTGTCGCTAATAAATATAGGCTTAGGATTATCCTCATCTCCCATATTTATTTAGAGTATCTTGTCCCCGGTGGGTGGTTCACGTTGTCCAAACCGACTACTCCATTAGGTGCTGATGTGGTGATCATATGCTTCATCATAAATCGGTATCTGATCATCCTCTCTGATTTCGGCGGGATCGGCTATAGCCATGTTGACTGTGAGCTCCCTGAACGGATCTCCCACACTAACGTCTAAATCTCACATCGAGAATGTTGACAATGATTCTTCGGAAGGACCGTCTTTGGAATCTTCATCGAAATTGCAATGATTCTTCGGAAGGACCGTCTTTGGAATCTTCATCGAAATTGCAATATAATTCTAATGAAGAGGAGGTGTAACCCAACCCTCTTCGAGTTTTGCCGAAGTAATTGTCAGGCTTTCCTTTGGAAACATAAGCAGGTCAGACGAGTGTCTTTCGCCCTTTGCCGTAGTTCAAGTCTTTCATGCAGGTGAAGTCATAACCCATGCTCTCCATCACACGCTTTGCAATTTGGTCGTAGTGTGAGAATTGAGGAGCGTGTTCATCATCATCTGACTCATCCCACATTGTGTGCATATGCTGGTCTATCCTTCCAAAGATAATTTCTTTCTGATAATTACCTCGGGCAGGCACGACAAAGGTAGCTTGTGAGGACTCGATCATTTGTTTGTCTATGACAAACGAAGAATACACGGAAAAGTGCAAAGAAGAGTTGCTATATAAATCTACAACCAATTTGCTAAACTCATCATTACTAGACTCTAAACTAGACGACAAGTAAGCAAAGTCAGGATCTTCATTCAGGATGAACCCATCCGCTTCGTCATTGTTGGTTACAACAAGGCCCCTATAGTCGATTACATTGGGTTCAACGTTATTCAAGACAAGACCCTTGTTGCACTCAGACACATTATCGGCCTCGTTACCACTGCCAAGTTCCTCGACTGATGACTCGTTGCTTGGTTCAGAGTCCTAGTAGAGTAAAGAATTAGTGAAGTAGTTTTCGACCCCCTTCAAGGGCTATTTATCAGCGACCATCGTATTTACTTGATCACGGTCGTCCACATACTTCAAACACTGATGTAATATGGATGGGACTATACGATTGCTATGGATCCATGGCCGACCTAATAGCATGTTCTAGGAAGGCTCTGCATCGATGACGTAGCAAGTCACTTCCGTCTTCATGTCAACCAGCTGACACTTGAGGCAGATCTTCCCCAGCGGCTGAGTTCCGATGGCTTTGAAGACAAAGATGGAGGTAGACATTGCAGACAATTGCTTTTGTGGCCCCCCTAAGTGTTGATGAGCTTCAAGGGGACAATGCTCAGTGCAGACCCTGGATCTACTTGGATCCTGTCCACTCGAGAGGAGCCGATGTAACTTGTGAAGTACATGGGTCGTTCATGGGATGTACTCTTGATGAGCATATCCTTAGGAGTGAAGGTAATGCATGGAATCTTCTATCTGGATGTCTGGTAGCATTGTGGACACCCTTTCTTAGCGTCTTCTTCCGAAGTAGGCGAGAAATAAGTGACAAAAGCCTCTGAGTCGGCTAGTGCCTCCCGCAGAGTTTTCTGGGTAGACTTAGACAGTCGCAAGAGCTCATATAAGGTGATCCTGGCTTGAATATTCTTCAGTTGTGTGAGTAGGTCGAAACGAAAGGGTTGACCGATTGAACTCAGCTTGTCAGGATTCGGTTGGACTGTTTGTGACGGTCCCGCTGGTGGTCTTGCTGGACTTTTCACTGTCGGAGGGTAGTTCTTAGCAAAGTCCTTCCCTGCTTGGGTAATCAAGGTGTCTACCTTATTGTCGGAATCGGTGAGGGTCGGTATCTCCACTTTGTTATCATCTGGAATTGCTGAAATGATGTTACAATGCTTAGGCTTGGCTTTGGACTTGTCGGAAGTCCATTGCTCATCGTCGAGGAGATTAAGATGAGCATCAAAATCCTTCTAGGAACATAATGTATACTTGTATGTATGGTGATCCGTGATCAAGATAAATGTATGATACGATATGTAAGATCTGTACCGCTGTAAATATCTAAACATATATCACAAGATTCACAAGTTTACATGAAAACATCTATCAGGAAATACAATGAAATTTAAACCTCCTATGCCTCACTATAAACAACAATATCCACCTTTTAATGAATGGTCAAGTTGTTTGTGATAGAATGCAAACATTTGGTATGCCTCATTATAGGAAATGGGAATGATCCAGTTTGAGTTGTTTATAATGGGTTTCTGCAAATTATATGATTAACTTAGCAATGAACTTTGAGCTCATTATGCGAATACAGGACTAACGAGAAGTGCACTAGCAATGACTCATCATATAATTTTTCTTTTTTGAGTCTCATTAGTCTCATATGTACATTATACCTGTTGCAAGATATCTATGTTGTTTATTGTTATCAAGTATATGTTTTCTCATGGTGCATCTCTGGGATTCATACGAGGTGCTAGCGAGAAGGACCAGGAAGATGATAATGAGAGCAGCGATAGTGATGATGAAGAATCTGCAGAAGCGGATGAAGATGACTCTGATCTGGACTTGGCATGGAAGATGCTAGATGTTGCGAGGATCATTGTTGAGAAGTCCTTAGAAGATACCATTGAGAAAGTAAACATTTATGCTGCTTTGGGAGAGGTGTCACTGGAAAGAGGTTAACCTCTGAACTTGTATATCCACCTTTTAATGAAATTGGACATATGACGTAGGATTTGTATTTTAACTTGCAGAGGACTTTGAGACATCTTTAACTGATTATTTGAAAGCTTTGTCCATTTTGGAGCGGTTGGTTGAACCTGGCACTCGTAGGATGGTTGAATTGTATCCTTATCAAATGTATTTAATGAACTCATGCAAGAATTCATTTTTACCAGGAAGGGTAATCTTATCAGATTTAACTGTAGTAAGAGGAACTTTGATCAGTTATTATTCTCTTTGGCTGTCTTAATACTTGAAAATCAGAAATTTTAGGGTATGTTTGGTGTTGGAGGCTTCGGCAAAGGTTCAAGAGGCTATTCCTTACTGTAAGAAGGCTATCTCACTTTGCAAATCTCGCTTACAGTAGTTCAGTGACAACGTGAAGCCGACAGTTTTAGTGCCAACTAATAACGTGAACATTGCTGATGACTCCAGTGTGGGTGACAATCAGGCTTCGAACAAAGTAGATGCTGATGGGGCTATTGGAGAAGATGAAAAGCAGGTGCTTAGCGGAATATTGAGTGAGCTCGAAAGAAAGGTAACAACAGGTTTATCTCTTCTAATATTTTAATTGCTTTTAGCTATGTGAGTGTTATGTTTTCATCATATATGGGTGAGAAAGTTGAGCATCAATTTACCCTTTGTTGGCCTTTTTATCAAACTTCTAATCTTTGTCTTCCCAAGAGACATGATGAGATTTTTGTGGATTTGTTTTTTTCTTTAAGATGATTATTGTATTTACTGACACATTTGTTATTGTTTGAATTTTTTTTTGTGCTTTTGTGACTGGCAATCTAAGCTCACTATTTGGATGCAGCTGGAGGACCTTCAGCAGATCTTGCCAGATCCTCGATTCATATTTTCAGAAATCATGAAAAGGATGTCATCTACATTGCCTTCTTCAGATGCAAATTCTCCAATAAAGAGTCAATAGCCACGTCTTTGAATTCTTCACAGATGGCTGTTACAACTGGGGGTTTCGATTCCCCAACGGTCTCCACCGCAGCAACAAATGGTTGTGGGCCTGTAACCCATCTTGGTGTTGTAGGAAGAGGCGTAAAGAGAGCTTCTTTAAACAATGTTTCTACCAAACCTCTTTCTAAGAAGTCTTCTTTGGATTCTTCTTCTGGAGTCGTCGAATCTACGGTGAAAGATGCTGAGATCCGGAAGGAGTAATGTTGTTGTAGTTTATTTGTCATATTGGATGCTTCAGTTATGTAGTATGAACATTTGAAAATTGTAGCTTACTTGATCCAAGTTTCTTTCTTTTCTTCACCTGACCTGTGGTTCTTGCATATTATAATGTCGTTATGCTTGCTGGTGTATAGACTACGGTCTTAGCTTTTTTTTAACCTTGTGTGTTTTAGAAAGTGAAGTTCTCAAGGAGGGTAAGCAAATGATGTAGGTTCTTTTGGATTTCGTCAAAAATAATATCTTTTGCCGACAAAAAAATTATACTTTTACCGACGTTATATTGTGTCGCCAAAAATAATAGCTTTTAGCGACACTATCTTGCGTCGCCAAAAGTATAGCTTTTAGCGACGCTTCACTCCGTGTCGCTAAAAGCTACACTTTTGCCGACGCTAACTTGCGTCGTCAAAAGTATAGTTTTTAGCGACGAATAATTTTACGTCACTAAAAGCTATACTTTTGCCGACGCATAGCTTTTGTCGACGCTGCATGTGTCGCCAAAAGTACACTTTTGCCGACGCAAAATATTATGCGTCGCTAAAAGATATACTTTTCCCGACGCATGACGCGTCGCCAAAAGTGTACTTTTGGCGACGCAGTGTATTTGCGTCGCCAAATACTTTCCTTGATGCACTTTTGGCGACGCGTTAGCGACGCTACATTTTGTGTCAGGAAAGGTTTTTCCCGATGTTTTTTAAACTTTTGCCGACGTTTTTGTTTCGTCGGTAATGTTGTATTTTGTTGTAGTGTATGACCATCAAAGAAGCTCATGATCTTACAACACTTTCATTTGATGGTCTCATTGGCAAGCTTAAGGTCCATGAGAAGAAGATCAAGGAGAAAAAGGAATTGCCCCCACGAGCAATGGAGGAATCATCCTAAAAATTGAAGACTATTGCGCTCAAAGGAGCTATTGATGATTCATCCTCATCAGATAGTGAAGTTGATGTCTCTAGAGAAGTAGCACACCTCTCTAGAAGGATATCAAGATTAATTACGATGAATAAAAATTTTAAAAATCATTCTAATAAGTTTCCCTCTCGTGTAGGTAAATGTTTTGAGTGCAATAAACCGGGACGTATTGCAAAGGATTGTCCCAAAGTAAAGGAAAAAGTACTTAAAGTATAAGAAGAAGAAGGCAATGTACGCTGGATGAGATAAATTTGAACCAAGTGATTCGGATAGCGATGACGAGGGGCCAAGATTACTCTTCATGACCCAAACATTTGCTTCATGGCTCATGAAGATGAGATACAATATAAAACCGAAAGTGAATCACTCTATATGTAATGTAAACTAGAAGCCGATTTAAAGGAATTAAATTTTGAATTTAAAAAATTAGCAAAAGAATATTCTTCATTCAAAAAATTGCATGATTCTTGTAACTCTAAGTTTGGGCTTCTACCATCCTCACTAAATGATACTATTGCCTTAAAAGATAAAATGAATGGAGACCTAAACTTTGAAAAAAACAACTAAGGTCTCAAATTGAAAGACTACAAATTAAAAATGATAGATTAAAATATAATCATGTTTACTCTAGTTATCATAATATTAATAGAAAATGGTATCACAAATCTCATGCACCCACCTACAAGAAAAATTTTGTGTGTACATATTGCATGAAATATGATCACATTTCCACACATTGTAGATTTAGAGATAATGCTCATTATTATGGGTTTATATGGGTACCTAAGGGTACCAAAAATACTAACATTCAAGGACCCAAAGTTTAGGTACTTAAATGTTCTACAACTAGTTTACATGTAAGGAACGTCTCACACAAGACATAAGGAGTTGTGGTACCTTGATAGTGGTTGTTCACATCATATGACGGGAAACAAAGAATTATTTGCAACCCTATCAAGGATTGAAGGAGGCAATGTCTCCTTTGGTGGTGGCGAGAAAGGTAAAATTATAGGTATTGGTAAATATTGGTAAGACACATTCTCCCGTAATTGAGGATATTTATTTTGTTAAAGGATTAAATCATAATCTTCTTAGTATTAGTCAATTAAGTGATAAAGGCTTTGACATTACTTTTAAACCGAATAAATGTATTGTTAGTATAAATGATAAAATTATTTTTGTTGCTTTTAGAAGATCTAATGTATACATTTTTGAGATGAATGAGTTCATTGATCAAGATGTGAAATGCCTTGTCGCGGTGGATGGAGATCATTGGATTTGGCAAAAGAGACTTGGTCATGCTAACATAGAGTTGATATCTAAGCTATCCAAGAAGAAGTTAGTAAGAGGACTACCAAGTCTTACATATATTAAAGATTCTCTTTGTGAGGAATGTAGCAAAGGTAAACAAATTAATAATTCCTTCAAATCCACAAATGAGGTATCCACTACTAAACATTTACAATCACTACATCTTGATCTCTTTGGTCCTATGCGTGTTACCTCTCTAGGAGGTAACACTATGTATTTGTTATTATTGATGATTTTTCATGCTTTACGTGGGTGAATTTTCTTACAAAGAAAGATGAATGTTTTGAAATTTTTTCTCATTTTGTAAAAAGAGTTGAAAATAAAGAGGACTTGAAAATTGTTAAAATTAGAAGTAATCATGGTGGTGAATTTCAAAATAAAACATTTTCTTGATTTTTGTGCCCATCATGGTATAATTCATACGTTTTTCGCTCCTAGAACACCACAACAAAATGGTGTTGTTGATCGAAAAAATTGGACCATGCAAGAGATGACACATACAATGATTAATGCTTTTGATTTACCAAAATATTTTTAGGCGGAAGCTGTCAATACGGCTTGTCATGTCTTAAATTGTGTTTTAATTAGACCTATTTTCAAGAAAACACCTTATGAACTCTATTTTGGCAAAACCCCAAATATTGGATATTTTTGTATTTTTTGTCGCAAATGTTTTATCTTAAACATTAAAGAACACCATGATAAGTTTGATTCAAAAATTGATATTGGTATATTTTTAGGATATACATCTAGGAGTAAGGCTTATAGGGTTTTTAACAAACGAACACTCGTTGTTGAAGAGTCTATAAACATTACTTTTGATGAAACTAATGAAGGTTCGCAAGATGGTTTGCCTAGGGATGATGATGATATTGAGCGAGGATTGGAGCTTTTGCAAATAAATGACAAACCCTCAATGGACGCACCAAAAATTAGGAAAGGCAACAATGAACAAAATCAAGAAGAACTCCCCAAGGCATGGAAGTTTGTGTAATGACCGTAAATTTTCAATACTGGTTTAAATAATTTTTCTGGTATTTTAATTATTATTTTTAAAGGGATATTTTTCCCTGTGTTTTTCCTCTCACCGGTGTTTACTCTGTATACCTCTCCCCAATTCACGCAGACCCCTCCGCCTCGTGTTTTCCCCCAGCTCTCAACCCACGTCCTCCCAACCACCCTATCCCGCACTCTCTCCCTCATTAAATTGTTTTTACTCTCTCTCCAATCTCTCTCAATCTATCTTTTTCTCTCTCTCACACTCAATCACCATCACTCTCTCTCACTCTCTCTTTATCTCATTAAAAAATCCCTCTTTTTAACTCTCCAGCTCATCCTCTTTTCTCTCCATCTATCTCACTGTACCCTCTCTCTCTCTCTCTCCTCTTTTCAAAACCAAGAAACCCATCTCCACCACCTCTGCCCACGCCGCCCGACCAGGCCGCGACCCGACCCCGCTCCACCTCCATCTCCGACGAACCCGCCGAGCCCCAGCTCTGCCTCGAGCTCGAGCTCAGCCCCGACCAGCTACCGTTCGCCGTCGTTGACTCCAGCCCAACCCCGTCGTCTCAGCTTCGCCGCCTGAACACCCCGCGGCCGCTACTTTGGCCACCGCCGCCGGCGAGCTCGAATCAGCTCATTGCAGAAAACTGCAGCTCGGAGCCAACTTTGCGCGCGTTTTCCGGCCAACTCCGACCTCCGTTTCCGTCAATTCCTTCACCAGTGCGTAGCCCTTCGTGTTGTCTATTGCACGGTATATTTCTTTCACTTGGGCTCCTTATGTACACCTCGTTATACTCGTTCGAATATCGCACGTCGCATTAACACTCTAATTGTTATTTTAGCCGTCGATTCCACGAAACCCGTCTTAACGCTGTGCAATCACCCCGACGCTCCCTAATACAGTCCACGATATACCCAAGGCAAGATCCCACTTGCTCAGATCTGAATTTTATACCTGTTATAAATTAATTGCTTAGTTTATTTGCGATATATTTATCTGCGTGGGTTGTTTGATGAATAATATTAGATAAATCGTAATTATGTGATAATTAGTATTTTTAGAATAATTATGGTAAATTAAAGATAATTAGTATTTTTAGAATAATTATGGTAAATTAAAAAGAATTTATTTCGGTAGCAGAATCATTTTTTGGATAATTATATCAATTAAAAAGAATTTATTTGAGAATGAAATTATTTTAGGAAAATTATAATAATTTAAAAGGAATTATCTTGAAAAAAAAGAACCATTTTAGAGTAATTATAATAATTTTTAGAAATTATCTTGTGGAGGAATTTATTTTAGAATGATGAATATTTTTAAAAAGAAATTATTTGTGAATGATAAATATTTTAAAAAAGGAAATTATTTGTGAAAATAGAATATTGTGAATTAATGAGAATTTATATCATTTTTGAATTTATGAATTTTATTATTTAAAAGATTATTTTTTGAATTATTATAATGAGAAAAGAATCTATTTAAAAAAAAAGGAATTATTTTGAAGTAAATAAATTACTATTTCAGAAGATTATTTTAAGAACAATTTTATGATCCAAATTCTTAACCTTGATTATCTGATATGATATGATATGATTGTACATGATTAGTTGCATTGATTGTCCATGTTGTGTTTGAGAACCCTTAGAAGTTCATGACTTAGTAGCCTTGTGCGTCATGAACGGACTTAGTGACATGTGTGAGTTTAGGCGGTGAACCCGAGTTTCAATGAGATTATGGTTAACTTAGAAAAAACGAGAAGAGTTGGGATGGGGAAGTCAGTGTTCATGTGATCGGATAAGACTGTTGATGTATCTTCCA